AGAAGACCTGGGGACAAGGTTGAGTTGTTTTGGTTGTGAAAAAAAAAAGGTAGACAATTCACTCGTTTTAAGAGTAAGAACTACAGCTGGAACTAGGTGAAATTATAGCTAAAAGCATGGCAAAAACAGCAAGAAGACAACTCGGAGGGTGACATCTGCTATTTGGAGAATATTTGTGGAGCTGGACAAACCTAAACGTACAATACCGAAGATGAATTTAACATTGATGCAGGTAAGCATGTTTCAGCCATGTTTTTAAACTAGGAATTATTTTGAGTGAATAATAAAGCAAATAATGAATGCGGCTTTCGTAGGATATCAAGATAACACCCTCCTCGATCTGCTTAATTCTTCATATCCTACTCAGCCTCATTCAATAATTGCTAAATATTCATATTTATTTCAAGCATGTTTTAGGTAGGGTGGGGGGGGGAGGGGTGAGGACTTTATAGGGACGAAGGTATTGGAAAAGGGGGGGGGGGCTTATTTAATTAGCAAAGATTCCATGAAAACTATGAAAACTAGAATGGATTTACTGTAAAAGCTCGGGCACATGAAGTGAGAGGTCAGGTTCCAGCACCTGAGTAAACAATATTCGATCAGTCCACATGCAAAGTTACAGTCATTCATTTTAGGGAGCTGTGTCAGGGCTGTCTTGCTCATTAATAATGTCAGTCATATGTACATGTCTTTAAAATAAATGTTTTGACACAGTCCATCACTTAAGAACTAGTTGTAGCTTTCGCTAAGTGCCAACAAAAGAAAAAGAATTTGCCTACATCACCGGTTTTAGTTCCAATGTTTATAAAACCATTTTCAACTGCTGAGCCGAGAATTTCTACTACAAGCACTCCTTGTTCCTACATTTCTGCCATGCTCTTGGCCTTAACATCGCTCTTATTCTTCTGCTTAGACATTTTTGAACCTTAAACTTGTCAAGTTTCAAACGGCGAAAGGGAAATACCATTTATAGGTTAGCGTGAACTTGAAATAGCGATTTGTAATTCGTAAAAGTACAGTAGTGTGGCAGAGAACACTGTCCAAACTTTGAAGGTTCGTTTGTTTACAACAAAGGTCATCAAAAGTCACCTAGGGAATCTACACCTTACATTACACTTTTCACAGCACGGTCAAGACTTTTTCTGCCTGCTGCAATACTTCGTGTGGCATTAAGCTGGCCGCCTTGCAAGCTGACTGTCTTCACTCGGCTTGCTTGGGGGAGGGGAAGGGAGGTGAGCTTAAAAGAGAAGTGGGGACTGAATAAGAGGAAGGATTATTTGAGATGGATGGGGTGGGGAGCTAAACAGAGTATTATATAACGGTAGTGATAGTTTCACAAGCTATTTGTCTTATCAGTAATGTTCAGTTCAGTTTTCACTGTTTTGCCTTTTGAGAAGTACAGCTCATGGACTGGTAAGATATTCTCTCTTAGGAGACATTGGAACAAGCTAATTTCCCACAAGACAATTATTGTACTCAAATAATAACGGATATTGGGCGAAAAATAACAGTAAAAGTGATAAAGAAAACAAAACAAATGGATTTAGCTAATAAATTATTGACGAAAAAAATTTACAATGGCTAGAATTTAAACCTCTAAATCTTCGTAAGCAAGAGTAGAACAACAAGGGGAAATACTGATATGTCAGTTTCAGAAACGTTTTAAGGATTTTGAATCTTGCATTTAGCTAGCCATTTAAGATTAACTGCTTTTTAAGACATGGACTAAGAGGAGATTTTGTTGTTTGTACATCTACCAGTAGGTGCTGTTAATTGTGCTTTTTTGACATCGCTATAGACGTTAATACGTCGCAAAACCTTGATTTTACAAGTAAAATGCTTCTATAACTACATGTCTCTTTGACAATGTAACTCAGAGGAGTAATTTCGATGACTGTAATCAATTCTTTTGACTGTTCAAAAGGAATTAAAAACCACGCAGGGGTCTCGCTGGTTTCTACAATTAAAAATATCATCGTTTGCATTCTGACTTTTATAGCTTGTCATAAACTTCTTGACAGCGAACGTAGTCCAAGAAAAAAGGTAACGAATTAGTTTAAAAACACAAGGATTATGGACTATAGATTTTTTCTTCCTGAAAGCATAGCGCGTTTATAGAAGATTCACTTCCGATGTACTTAGATACTTACCGATCCAGCCCCTTCCCTCGAGTCCTTTGATCGCCATTTTCTCGTTCCTGTTGTGGGAAGAGAAACGAGTCTCTTAAGACGCTTTTTGCCAATGATCACCTTATGCATCTGAGAAACATTTAGTACAAACTTATTTGATTATCAAAAAAAAAATCGACACAATTTATGCACATATTCCTCTTGCTCTCTGCGCGAAGATCACCCCACCGTGCAGAGCATACATAACAACGTAACACCGCCAACGATACCTGTTTACATCGCGGGCACGTATTATTTCCCAGTGTCCGTAGGAGGCGCTCGTCTCGAGGCAGCGCGGAAGTCAACAACATTCGAAATGAAGTCGAGTTGTAAGCCGTAGTTTTGCGACGAATTTGGACAGCAATGTCTTCTTCGTCTTTTTCGTGGGTGACTAGAAAGATAAGTGGACCTATACCTGCGCCCAGGTCAGTTAGTATTGCAGATTGTGGTCAATAAGTCATTAATTTTATCTGACTATGATCCTTATCATATAAATGAAGTAGGAATTAAGCCTTTATCATGTTGCTCTACTTTAACTGTACCGGGCTGGTCTTCCATCTTCTTTAATTAACCATTCTGGTGACTTTGTGACGTCAAAACAGTATGCCAGGGCTTTCAACCCCCCATGTCTTCAAATAATGAGAATTGATAGGGAAGGGATGAAAGATGACGTCATATCGCACCGTGTATGACGTCATTTGTGCAAAAAATACTCGTGGCATGATATATCATACCGAAATTTATGAGGAAATGTTTGATGTTAACAGTAAGATAGCTCAAACAGTGCAAAATATTTAAAAGTTTATTGTCGGAAAGTCAAGTCTACAGCTAAACTACAAACTTCGGGGAATATCCAGGAGATTTCATTCTCTAATCTGGAGACCAGGAGATACGGCTCAAAATCTGGAGTCTCCCGGCTTATCCAGGAGAGTTAGCAGCACTGGTATGCAGTTATACAATAGCATCCATATACACTGAAATGCAAAGTCAAATTTTCCAAGGAATTTTAAGGTGATTTGCTGGTTTTGCACTGCGCATCTCATACTGCGCATAACAAGATGGCCGCCATGAAAAAGAGCATCCGAAGTAACATTATTAAAATGAAGTTGACTGAAGAGAAGCGCTATTGGAATTATTTCTTGCGGGTGTTTTCTGCCGATATGAGACTCAATGTGTAGGGAATGTACATAAAGTAAGCAGAAGGCGTGTTGCTGAGTTCGACCTCCTTACAGAGAACCTCGATGGTGGAAGTTAAACTTGTACTCACTCACTTTGATTTTCATTCAAGCACCATCTTTATCACATTGTGTCCTAATTGTTGTGATATCTCGATGTAAATTCTGTAAAAGCTGATTTTTTAATGCCTTCTTTCCCCTTCCACGTACATGCCGTTTTGAAACTCACCCCAGTCCTCTCTCAAAAATCAGAGAATAAGCATTTGGTGTACCCTTTCTGCAGCTCTACTACAAAAACGAGTACAGTGACCCCCATTTTTTCGTTCATTATTATGGAAGAGATATGACTATGTTGCAACTAAAAAGCTGACTACAGATGGCAAAGAGATTAGAAAAATAACTCTTGTTGACAAATGCACAAAACCATGAAAAGAACTTTATGAGTACTTCATTCAGCTCTTAACACATTTTTGTTACTACTCCTTTCTTGCCAAGTGGCAATGAGAGCAACTAGATTCTCTCCTTGAAAACCTTCCTCTTGATCATGCTGTCTGTCTTCACTACTATTCTGAGGGTTATGCTTGCCGTTTCCAGGAAGAAATTCAATCTGAATATTTTGACATCAACAAAGTTAGTCTCCATGTCACCATTCTCTACAGGCACTCAAATGAAGAAATGGCTGGTGTTCAGAGTACAGAGGAGGAACCTATAATCAGCAAAGAGCATTTGTTTGTCATTTCTGATGATATGACACAAGATCATGACTCTGTCCTTCACATCCAGAAGTTGATATCAAAGCATTTGCAAGACTCTAAATGCATTATTAAGAACATGCATGAATTCACTGATGGGTGTGCAGGACAGTACAAGAGCAGACACTACCTTGGTGACCTCTCCTGTTCCTTGGCTACTCTTGGATATACAGTCCAAAGAAACTTCTTTGCCACTTCACACGCTAAAGGTGAACAGGATGCTGCTGGCTCGCACATACAATGTAAAGCAGAAGGCAACTACTGCCATCCTCTGTAGAAGAGTCAAACTTCATAGTGTCCAAGAACTGTGTGACTTTCTTACTTAGAACTTCTCCGAACCAGCAGCATCATCTTTTCCCTCTAGGCAGAAGTCAGTGCAGCTGAAGCAACACATCTTCTTTAATTTGCCTTCTTCTGGTGCGCTTGCTGTTTTCTGAAACAGGGAAGGAGGAGGATTTTTTACTGTGAAAAGTATCCGGCAATTGCACTCTGTTAAAACCTGTAGTGAACAGCTAAAGATCTTCACCAGGGCAAGAGCCTGTTACTGCCATAACTGCCTTGCTAGATGCTACAATGGACGCGAAAATATGGAGTGGGTGGGCAACTGGAAGGAGGTAAAGTTGGCTAGGGAGCCTTCAGGCTCAACCACTAGAACAGCTGAGGATGTCACAACCACTGAGAAGTGGGTTCAACTTGCTGATCTGGCAACCAAAGACAGCATTGTGGCTGTGGCAGCAAGGGATGATAGTCACTATGATTAACAATTATCTTCTTAAAAGTAACAAGTGATGTCGTAATGAAGCTGAAGGACAATTTTGAGGATCCATATGGGAACATATTTAAAAAAGGACAGTTTGTTCTTCAAGGGAAATTCTTTCTTGGGGAAAACATAATATTGATCAGACACATAAACTTGATGAAAAGTGGCAGCAGTGCTTCTAGGTACTGTGATGCCTTGTGATGCCGTGACATCAAAGGGAAAGAAACAAAAAAATATTTCGAGTTTAATTGAATGAACACAAGCAAATATTAGCATCTCTTTGACTTTGTTACAATTAACATGTCTCTTTTGTTGTTAATAGCTTTAAACTGAAATTTCTGCTTTAAAATTCCCTCAGAGAAAAGATATTGATAATGTAAAAAGGCAAGGTTGCAATGCATCAATGGCTAATAATAAAATAGCAGAGAATGTCTCCGAATTGTTGAGATAGCATTCTTTTGTAATGTTATCATTTTTTATTGCTTTTTAGAGTTACTTGAAACACCTACTGAATTTTTTGAAAAAAAATTGATTTTGGGCCAATGTTACACCTTTGTACATCGGAACTGTGCTACTGATCATCTATTTTCAGTTTTTGGCAATTTTACTAAATTGTACGGATTGAGCTACAATTGGTCGAATAGCGCTTGTCCAAATTAAGTCTACTTTTGAGCGTAAAGTAAAGACAAGGGAATTATTTTAAAAGGCATTTTTCTAGTACAAAAGTGAATAAACAATACATTTAAGTCAAATTTTTGTGGGATACCACATGCATCATCGAAAAAATCTCTCCTTTTTGTCTAGGTTTGGACTGTTCACGGTTTTTGCCAAAAGGTCCTAAATAGCCATATTTGTCAGCATTGTGACGTGAAAACGAGCACAGTGACGATGTCCACCTTTTTTTACTTTTTGATCATCTTCTTGACTTGTTACATCAGTGTACCAAGTTTCATCTACAATCTATGTTAGGTTCTTTTACTAAGGAATCACCTTAGTTTATAACAATATATAATGCAATGATATTATTAGATCTGGTGTTTGTGATATCCAGAGTAATCACAGTCTTGGTAAGTGTTATCTTCTGAGGCCCAAAACACTTTTATGCCTCGATATTGATTATTCTGAATATCATGAAAACCCCATACAATAATGCTCGGCTCTCTAGTATGTCCCTAGTCTGAATTTTAAATACCCTCATTTCGCATTTTAGGTTAGGCCAAGTCCCTGTTGGTATTTGACACATCTTTATGTCATTTGTGGCTATTTTATCTAGTCTTATGTCACTGTTTCAAGGACATGTCACTTGTTGGAATTTTAATCTAACAGGTCCCCAATAATTATTATTTTAGAAGCAGATCAAGGAGGTTGTTTTCCACCTTGATTGATCTTGATCGATCTGCATAATTCTTCATATTATCTACAGCCTCTTTCAATATTGTTACATCATTCATTTGAAGTACTGTAATTCCAAAATAGTGAACATCCTCACCTCCATGTAGACTTTCCCTTGAAACCTTTATCCTGTCTGTGGGTTCCTTTTTGGTCAAGGAATATAAAACTGTCACGAGTGCAAAAGCCATTGTTGAAACTATCCTTGGTTTACCATTAAATTTTACCAAACTCATTGTCTGTCCAAGTTGAAATCCGATGAGATTCTTATATTACTGAAGCATCTCACTCCCTGACAACGTAGAGTGAAGTACTTGTATGTACAGTCTCCATATGTTATTTGGGCTATCCTTCCTGATGCTGTAGAGCAGTCTCCCTCACTTCCACCACCACTGCTGCAGGGTTTTGGAACCATGTTAGCATTGTGATAGTATTCTCATCATATTGCAGTTTTGTAGTAAATTATCTTGGCAATGTTTTGGGGAAAAGGCTGTGGAGTCAGGTCTGAATTCACACCGGTTTCCACCATTTTAAGGAAATTGGTCACATTTTTCATAATGAATATATTTTTAATAATAAAAAATTTTTCCAAGATGAAATCCTGTCTGAATGACTCGGAAACCCTGGGAAGGTGACTTAAAGGGGTAAAAATCAAAAAAACTTTCCTGAGGGAGCCTGCCCCCCC